GTGATGCTTCATGGTCTGTTTTTGTTATTATTTGCAAAGAGTTCCTGATTAGATATGTAACTAAATCAATTAATGTCACTTACATGAATTTTGTACCATTTGCTTATTCAAAACTAAACACATGAGAATATGAGATAAAATAATAACCATATAATAATTCCAAATACTTTATGCCTTTTAAGGGAATAAGTAACTACCACTTTTAAGAGGGCTGGAGCATATGATGTTCTAAGGAGTAAAATTAAGGCAATGCATACTACATGTACATTTGGCCAGACGAAGAAAAATGTTCAAAAAGTCTATTGTAACTTAATTAATTGTAAGCTGGGGTATTTTTTAGCTAATAATTATTGACGTGTAAACTCGAGAAGAATAAAAATATTTTGCAAAGATCTTCAATCGAATTAATAATTTTCTTAATAACTTTTTATTTTGATACTATGAAGTTCGTTATACAACTGACAAATTATGTAAAAATGTATTAAAATGTTTCAGTGTTGGTTTTCATTTGAGTATTCAGTGCAAAAAATAGAATTAAAATGTAATAGTACACTCTTTTAATAGAACATTTCTTCAAATTCTGATTTTTAGAATATATATATTATCAACCTTAACAAAGAAGGACGTTACTCTATTTTATGATTTTTTTAAATAACATAGACATATAGTGTAACATTATTATATCATAATAAGCAGCATATTTACTTCTACCTTAGTACTTCTTAAATGTACAAACTCGTTTAAGACAATGTTTAAGAATATAGTCATGTTGACATATTCTATGGAAATTTACTATTATTGATAATTATTTTTTTTAGAAAAAAATTTAATACACTGTGCAATCTAAGTATATAATATGAATTATAATAAATATTGAAAAAAAAAAGGTTTTGAGGAAATTTATTTCCCTTGTTATCCTATGTTTGATCATCTTTGTATCCTTACATTTCGTTGTAATTGATGCTTACTACACATCGTGAATATTTATTTGAATTGGTTAAATGATTAATTTATTATCTAAGAGCCGAAAGTGTAGGAAGGTATTTTAAGGCAAATGTTATTTCTTTACAAAATATTAATGGTAATGAATGTAGAGATAAGTTCAAACACAACTGTACATTAAAAAACATTTAATCAGAAAGCCTAAAATCAAGAAAGGCCTCAAGAATACATAATTAAATGTTTAAAGTGTTTGAAGGCATTCACTATTCACACAAAAAAAGAAAAGATTATACATAGTATGAAGATTGGAAAAAGTTGGTCCAAGTACATAGTGTGTTATATCATCTCAGAACTAATATTAATAATAATCTTTTGTTAATCAAAATAATATTTGTTATAACCTAATCCATTTATACAGTGATCTCGCAGTATAAATGGATAATAACAGATAACAGATAATTTAACTCCAAGTTTATTAGATTTTAAAAGTTCAGATATAATAAATAGTCAACCCATGCATGTTAATTTACAGGAAATATTAAATTGTAAATACATTTAAAAAGATGTAAGATGTGAATAATTGAGTTGATTTTAATTGAAATTCAATTATTTTGAGTTTATTTAAACCGAATTAATATTTTATAGATGCTTGAAAAAGTATTTATCGTTTATTCATGACTAAATAACTTTTTAAGTGATATTATATTTAGTTTTAGTATAATAATTAAAAATTAAACTAGTCGCTTAAAACTGCACAGACCTATTCTGATCACAACATTTCTTATATGAATTTCTTTCCTTTAATAAGTAAATAAATTGTTCATATAATTATAAAGAACACATGAAGTTCCATGTTTGAAGGGATTAATCACTGTTTTAAACTATTTTACTAGTTTATTTTAGAAATCGAATTTATGGGTTAAAGGAAATTGTGAGACGAGGACAACACGGGGACCTGGCCAAATTTCATAATTGTATTTATTTACTTAAAGCAAGTTTTTCATAAGTTCAATAGTTTAAATAAAAATCAAGTTGTATAAATAACATAATTGTTTACTAAAATATGGTGACACCTCCTACTAGAGGACTTTTTCACGGGAACCAACTGCAAACTTTTTACAATATGAACACTCTTAAGTCTTAATAGGGGACACTTCCAAAAAACAGACAAATTGTCAGTAACCAATAAGAGTCTCCTGCGTATTTTGGAAATATCACTGTATATTGAATTTTGTTAAAATAATGTAACACTACTAAGATCAATAATTTGATTATTAAAAAATAAGATGCCAATAATGATCAAATTGAGGGAGTATAAATAAAAATAAAAATTTGAATATATTTTATAGTAGGATATAAATTATATATATTACGGGCAAAGAAGAATACCGAGCTATGGGTACACTGTACATTGCCCGGTCAATATGGTCCTGCCCTGGCAATATAAACCACGATATTTTTTTTTAACCTACGAATATTTTTTTTTTTTTTCTATAAATATAATTATTACCTATTTATAGTGCTGATTTTTTTTAAAAAACAATCATTATTAATTTTATTCATGTTGGGTTAGGTTAGGTTAGGTAAGCTAAAAAAACATCATACTAAATATAATTAATATTAAAATTATTAACATTGTAAAATGATTAAAGACTTCATATAATCATTACTAGGGCTAGGATAGTATAGGATTTTGCATTTTTTTTTAGGATTTACAGGACATAGCTTTTCAAGCACAAAATGTGATTTGGTCATATACGAGTCCAAATTTATAGTTTTTATTTTGCTTTTTTTTGCATTTTTTGTACTTTTAAGGATTTAGGGTCATTTTTTAGCATTTTTAGGTCATTTTTTCAATTTTACGGGCATTATTTATACTTTTTTGAAATCTAGGTAATATTTTTATACATTTTCATTTACACTAGATGTTCTCGATAAAAGTTTTGAATTTATAACAGAAATAATATCATATTCAATATTTCAATTATAGAGATAGTATAGAGAATAATCTTCGATACCTCGAGTTATCGTAATCGTTAAATTAAATGACAGTGATGTGGAGAGTACAGTGTGTAGTAGTGTGTTAATACTCGTTATCGATAATAAAACCACTTATATATTACAACAATAAACTTCGATACTATAAAAGTTTTTCATGCTACAAAACATTGCTAGCAGATAAACGGCGGTCATTTGTATTTGAAAATTTGAAGGAGCTACTGATTGTCCAATGAAACAATACAATTTAAACGTAATTTTCAGAATAAAAAAATATACGTATATATTTTTTATTTTATAGTATTTTTGTTGTTTTTTTCAGAAAATTTTAAGCTGGCCGATACATGATAAGCCCAAACTTCAAACTTTATTATTCATATCAAGAAAATCCTAAATTAACATTTTGTTTGCTATTTTTTTATAATATTATAATTTAAATAATTTTTTACCGAAATATTAATTAATAATTATAATGCATTTTTATAACATTTTAAAATCATTTTTTATCTTTTGGGCATTTTTTAAGTTCATTTTTAGGTTATTTTAAGGTAATTTTTTAGGTCATTTTTAGGTTATTTTAATGTCATTTTTTTAGGTTTTTTGGGTCATTAAAATCCTAGCCCTAATCATTACCATATATACAAGCTATTAAAATCAAAATTGCTACACCTAACACTCTTTCACTAATACAAAAAATAAAAAATACTAATAATAAAACATATTGTTTAATAAATATTATTAAATTTAATAAAAATAATAAAACAAAATTAATAATAAATATTCTAATCCTAAAAGTATTAATAATAAATGATTAAAATTAAAAATATAAAATAAAACTCCAGAAAATAATATAAATATTAAAACTAAAATAAATAAATTTATTATTTTAATAGTTTAAAAAAAAACATTGATATTGTAAATCAAAATTATAAAATTATTTAAAATAATCAGTATAAATATACAAATATTATCATTAATCTCCAAAATTAACATTTTAATTAAGATATATACTGAATTTTAAAATTTGTCTTTTTAACTAATTTAATTATAGCAATTATATTAACAATAATAAAATCACCTATTAGATCAAACTTAATTATTTTAATTCAAACAATAACTTTAACTATAATAGTTAATTTAATTAGGTAATAAAACAGCATGTATCTCATTTATAATTTTTATTTTATATATATTGGAGGATTAATAATTATTTTTTTATAAATTTCAAGAATTGCTTTTAAGGAATTAAATATTAATACAAATTATAAAAATATAATTTTTAAATTAATTATCATTTTTTTAACATTAGGGTATTTTAAAATATCATTAAATATAAAAAATATAAATTATGAAAATACATTTATATTTGAAGATAAATTTTATGTATTAAATATATTTATTATACCTAATAATCTAATAATTTATATAATTATATCTATTCTTTTTTTTATATTAATTTTAATTATTTGAATATTAAAAATTAATAAAGGTCCGATTCGACAAAAAACTAACTAATGAAAAAAATTTAATAAAAATTTTATTACCAATATTAAACTTACCTACACATGCTAGAATTAGTTTTATATGAAATTTCGGATCTTTATTAATAATTTGTTTAATAAATCCAATTTTAACAGGACTATTTTTAGCTTTTCATTATAAAACAGATATTAATTTAGCATTTCAAAGAATTATTAATATATACATAACATATACATTTAATTCATGGTTAAAAAATATTAAATAAGAAAATTTAAAGACATGACGTTACATGTGATATGTGACATTTTGACATTTTGACATATCACTAATGATATTTTATTTACCTTCAGAAGTTGCAATTGGGTAATGGGAAAATGTAATAACAATTATTAAACCATCAACATTATAACAATATGTCAATCAAAAATTAAATTAATTTTCCCTCTATAAATATTAATAATCTTGACCCTTGTTTAATCATCACCTTAATGTTGGTTGATGTGTTTTAATTATTTTCATTTATTGGTCCTTTAATTAGAACTCTTGTATCATATTAAAACAAGGGAGAAATCTCTATATATAAGACCAATAATGGCTACGATGATCAGTTCACAATTCTGCAAACCATATTATCCACACTAGGTATCTGAACATTCATTCAAGCGAGGTATGTATTTTTTAAAAGTGTTTAGCCATGTTTAATGATAGTACTTTAGTTTGATATTTAAAAATTGTATTTGATTAAAACAGAGTTTGCTTATAACATCCAGAACTTTTCTTATTTTTGTACCATTTCAGAATACAATGAAGATAAATCTATATTTGAGAGTACTCCTCTTGGCATTACTGATCAAAATTGTAACAGCTAATGTTAGACTTCAACGTTCACCTCAGCACTACTGTGGTTCTAGATTGGCAGACATCATGATGGTTGTATGCAAAAATAAGTACAATGGACCAAATGGACAAAAAAGAAGTCAAATTAGTAAGATCATAATTTATACCATAGTACCACTTCAAAGTTTAAGCTAACCTAAGAATAATACATAAATTCAAAATAAAATTCTGAGGTAGGTTTAGTCCTCTCAAATCATTGTTGTTCGTTCAAATTGAATGTGTTTACAATTTTTGATGGAAAATAACAATAAAAAATCAGCTGTTATTATGATCAAAAAAAATAAAATTATAATTATAAAAATACAATTAATTAGATTTTAACAATTACGTACTTGTAAGTTGTAACTAAGCTTTTTACTAAGCTATTTACTTTAATCAAAATCTAAACATTATTAAAACAATAAGTACTTTAATATTTTATCAATAGATTCTGATGTATGGGATTACAAAGACCTAGAAGACTACAATGCAATCGACTACCCATACTTACCTAAGAAAGAAGCAATGTCTTTTATGCCCTCACGTTTACTTCGCTCTCTCAAAAGAAGTATTATCGATGAATGCTGTCACAGGCCCTGCTATTTATCTGAGCTAAAAACTTACTGTGGAAGTCCGTAGTGATTGACTTAGTTATAAGTGATATTATAGACTCTGAATAAACTATTATTATATAAACAAAATTTACCTATTTATTAAAATCCATTCCTCATCAGGATGCATAGGAGGATGATTGATGATTGTGTATAAAGCATATTGTATGAAAAGATAAATATATTACATATATAAATATTAAGTAGCAACAGCGTCTGACACTGAATAATTAAAAAGTATTTGATGAAGTCAATCAATCTTATCTTATTGCTAATCTACAAAATATTTCTACTAAATCAAGCTCAATGAGGTCACAGCGTAATTTGAATCTAGGAACAATTTTTAAATTGTATGATACTACTGTGAGGTAAGTATATTTTTTTAATCAATCGAAATATTCTATATTAAACATTCAATAAATAGAATACTATTTGAATATCATATATCTACCTATCTTACCTACATTGTATTATAAAACAATTTAAATGTATTAATGTAGGTATTATACTAATATGAATAAAAAAAATTCAACAATTATTCAAATTATTTTTTATCAAGTAAGTCTATTTTACCTACCTACTAAATCATTTAACACTTAAATGATACTCCTCAAAGATTAATAGATACACTCATAACGTGAAACTTTTAAATTTAATTTAAATTTATAGCTTATAAAGCTTCTTCCACATCAATTTTGAATTTTTTTCTATGGGCCAATGTTTAATAGTTAGCATAAAATTGAGTGAGCTATTTCAAAACGTGCACCGAATACCAAAACCCTATATTTAAAATATACTACTGGAAAATAGGTTAGGATTAATCTTATGTAGCATTGTAAATAATTTTTATTAAAATTAATAAATATATAATGCATTTAAAGTTGTTTTTCATTTATAAATTAATAAGAATATGTTCAGTCAGTAAAAATCAATATTAAAGCAGTCCAAATTGTCACAAATCAGTAGTATAATTTCTGAAGATTATGTAAATTATTTACAGTATATTTATAGTATATTTTTTTTAATAATTATAAGATTATAAAATGTATGAAATGTACCCATTATATTTTTGTGTGATTATATTACATAATAATATATAGTTTTGCTGTTTAGGAACTTACATAATGTATTTTTTTACTTGCTAGGTCTCATGTAGGAGCTTGCATTCTTCAGGAACAAAATTGAAGAATCAACGATTTTGAGTTAAAAAAGTTTGAGTTTACCAAGTTCAACTGTATTAGTTTGTTCAATGTTCATTCCTCTAAATATTACCTTAGCGCCCCATGACATATATTTATTATAGTTAAATACCAGTCTTTAAAGAAATATTGGTTTGGTTCTATAAATCTTGCTTTATGACAGTAATATTCATACCTCTTCTAGTGCTTCTATTCAAAAATATGGCTAAAATTAAGTGTAAAATTTAGTTATTAAATATTTTTGTATTGCCCTTGATCACTTATTAACTACAAATCATGAGTTTGAAATTCACAAAAAGTATCAAAATTAAACCCTGCTTTGATAAAAATAAAAACTAGTACTAGTAGATACACAAAATTAAATAAGAGACACTGATGATTCATCATTGTACTAAAATTCATAATTTTGTACAGCAATTATTATTTTTTATTATTTTTTCCTCCAAAAATTTGGTTAGAATCTTATGCTAGACATAGGTGTGTTTACAGGGGAAGGCAAGGTGGGCTGATGCCTCCCCAGTCACTTATTTGAGAGTTCAACTATTTCATTTATTGACACTAAAATATTAAACCATTATCTAGTATTCAATATTATGATAAAATTATAAACCAAGTATACCAGGTTTAGTCTATGATTTTCCCCTATAACCATTTATGTCACCTTATTAGGTAATAACCTACATTATAACCTATAATTATGGATATGTTTTGGTACAATGGCACTCATTAAATTGTTTTACCTATTGTATCTTATTGTCTTATCTTTCATTTGAATGAATACCAAATATTATTATTTTTTTTAATTTAAAATTTATAAACTTTTATATTATAATATAATATTGTGATAGGTAAAGCATATTAATACTAAGTATCTCAATAAGATGAAAAAAAATTTGAAAAAATTTGTCCATAATGTTTGGATTGCAATTTAAATTTGCAAGAGGCTGAGATTTGTTTACTTGATTAATTATTCAATGAGTAAAGAAAAATAGATACTTATATGTGAGAATTGGATAGCGGTTGGTTGAGTTTGAAGAGATACCATGTTTAAAAATATGTATCAAGTTTTAAAAGAATTTATAACTATCCCAGTTATAAGTTGTTCGTGTAAGAGACATTTTGTTGGGTTTCATTAAAACAAAACTTAGAAGCACAATGCTTCAAGACCATTTGAAGGCATTATTAGCAATGAGTATTCAGAGAAAATCTGTCTACAATAATTGATGATGTAATTGAAAATTTAAAAATACTAAAACTAATGGATAGGCGTATGGATATGGAATTGTAAAAAGAACTTTTTCATTGACTGTAATACTGACTTTTATTATTTGTTATTTTTATAATTATTCATTACAATTACCTATACTTGAAATAATATTAACATTTTTCCAATTTAAATCATTTTATAATAATAATAGTTTTATTGTAATTTTTTCATATTCAATTTTAATGAGTAAGTACCTAATTCAGCTTCAAATGATGTAATGGTTTGCTTCATATGCTAGTAATTATTTAACAAGACAAATTTCAGATGTTTACATGTTTACATAAAAAGTTACGGGTATCTATATTGTAATATTGTGTGAAAAGAGTCACAAATATTAGGTAGGTATAATAAATTATAGTATGTAAACACTAAAATTTTACATTTGCTTCCCCAGCCATGGGGGTCTGCACACGCTTATGATGATAGAACTTACTAATTCCCAACTAAATTAATGGAATTGTATTATTGTTTTCATTGCATAGATTATGTATGTAGAAAAAAAAGTTATTACAATTGCAGTTTTAAATACCTCAAGCTACTATAACTGGTACATTGTTAATAATCTTGGATAAAATTACTCAGGAACATAATATTAAGATGTATTGATAAAAAAATCCAGATAAAATACAGTAATCAAAATTAAATTATAATAATTATTCATAACATACATGGAAACTAGATACTTTTCATAAAAATAAATAGTAAACGGATACACACTTTACTCAACAACAATCAGTAAATGTGTTCACAAACCACAGATGTAAGGCGGAGGCCTATACAAATGTATGTCTAAATGGCATGTTACAGGTGAGAGTTACAAAAATACATTAACATATTAATGCATTGATTACATTTTATCCTAGGCAGAGTAAACAAAAAATATTATTTGATAAATTATAAAAATATATAATAGAGTGTGTACTAAATGAACACGACACAGAGTTTGTACTTATTTAAGCAGTCCTTAATGTTTTATTATATCTATTGACTATTAGTTAAATTATTTATCAGTTTCGGTCTCCTGTATTTTTTTTTTTAATAGTATGTACACAACTTGTGAGCCATATTTGGACATCTGTTTGTTATTTTAACCAGAACATTACTTGATTATTGAGGTGTGCCACGCTCAAAAAGTGGTCCATTTGAAAAAATTTGGAAGAAAATGTTATTGATATTTGGTACACAGACTTGATAGAAGATGGAGGATGGAGAGGTTTTCTCTCCATTTGACTCGCTGCTTCAGCTATAAATCAAAATAACCTAATTAGTTTAATAATAATGTTGATTTTTTATCATTGAATGAAGTATTAATTTGTTTCAATAAAATGAATATAAATGTATGAAACATAGGAAAAAAACCACGATACGACTTAAGACATATCGGTGAGATAAAGGCTCGGGCACACGTACATGGGCTGTAATGGTGTACACTGTACAGGTAAGTGAATCACAGCGGTCAGTGGTCTGATTGTATTATTTTATAGAGGTTAAGGTCAGACCACTTTCTGAACGCCAAAGCCATAGACTTTTCCCAGTTAATTTTAAAAATGAATGGTTAAATTAATATCATGTTTATATTGACAATATTACATACATACAATATAGACAACTGTGGTTAAGACTAATTATTTTATATTAAATAAGAATTTGTAAGTATTTTTTTTTTATATACAATATATATTATAAAGCATTGTATTTTTATAGAAGTGTATTTTAATGAGAAGTGTACTTCTACAAGCCGCAGATTTAAAGATTGGACAAGTCAAACAAAACTTCAGCGGACACAAGATAAAAACGAATACCATTAAAAATGTTTTATAAAAATTTAAGTAGGTATCTATTGAGTATAGACAATACAAAACATTTCGATAAAATCGGTGTATCTGTTGCATATCTAATCCAAGTATTTGTTATTTCAAATTTTTTAATGCAATAATATGTGGTTTATGTATCATCACTTTTAAAAGTGACAACAAACAAACCCACTACGTTACCTAATCACATAAATTGTTCTGCTATGCGGCAAAGCTAATGATCTATCGACGGTATGGATCGCAAAGCAAACCATAGGTATCTAAGAGAACATTATACCTAAATGTGTCCATCTTACATACCTACTAATGGCACCTACTACATGGCAAAATTTTGTTTGCAAGGTTCAATAGTGAGCTATTAGTTTTGATATTAGAATGAATTGATCTATTATAAAATTTAAAGGTAAGATTATTATCTGGTGCCCCACACAGGCTTTTACTGATATTATTTTTAAGTAACTTATGATCATTTTAAAATGCAGTTTCAAAAAGGTCATAACTTACTAACAACAAACAATAACTGTGCTTTGGTGCGGCGTGATTGCAATAAAATAAGCTGACAAAAAGCATGTTTTTCTAATTTGAATTTATCGTAATGATAAGTAATCACCTTAAGGGGCACTTTTTTTCGTGCGCTTTGCTGGCGGTGGCTGGGGCAGGGAGGCTGTCTTATTGCCCGGATCGTCGCTTTGGTCGTTAGGCACGTCTTCGATGATGCCAATGCTTTCATTGGTGTTCAATCCGATGACATCGTTGTTCATTTTGGCGGAATCATCGTTATTAATTACGGCGGAATCATCTTTATTCATTTCAGCCGAGTCACTATCGTTGGTCTCGTGGTCTCGTGGTCTCGTGGTCTCGTGTCCGCTCATTTCGTTGACTTCCTCGACAACGGGGTGTGGAGTGCCGTGTATGGCGTCGATCAAGCTTAATACAGCCATGGCTTCGAAATCGGCGTTCAACCTGCGTGATTGTTTTCTGTGCCGGCGGAGCCGTGTACGACGGCGCCTGGGCCTTTTGGATGGTGATGGGTCTTCCTCATCCGATGAAATTAAGTTTATCTTTTCAGTCGATCTATCGTCGTCATTCAAGACAATTACGTCAGAATCAGAATCAAAATCAGAATCTCCGTGCACCACTTAATTAATTGTAAGAAAAGCCATATTTTCGGAACACAAACGGCTACGAGTCTAGGACACCGATAACAAGGATATCACAACCGTTACGAACAAGGACCGATACAAATCAGTACTCACTGTTGACAACGTCAAAAGTGTATGAACTGGTTGTGAAAATCGACGGGGCGATGAAAAATATTACCGATATGGGCGAACGACCGGCCTAGTGTAGTAATTTATCGTGAGAGCGGCGGAAAACAATTCGCGTGAAAATCGCAAAGTGCTCTTGTGAATGCCGGACACTGAGACTCGGTGACGCGTCGACTGGCTGGCGGAACGCGGGACGAGGAAAGAATGTGGAACAAGCCTGCAGCCTGGCGGTGGCATACCTTTGCGATGCGACGATTGGCCGGGTGACGGTGTGTTTATTCTACAGCCTCTTTGGTTCAACAGGTACCTAGCACGATGCCCGTCCGTGGGACAAGTATCCTCATCGCGTACTGACCATCTTTGACCGCGGTGACTACTGACCCGCCGCAAAGGTGGTGCAGCTGTCGTGGCACCCGCTGCCCGCCGAAATTTGTCGCATCTGCCGCCGTACTATAACTGGGTAATTGTTCAGGGAGATTTTAAGATGGCGCCTAACCTCGGACTGGTGTACCTTGACACACTGACCAACAGTGCGTCGACACCCGAAGGCTGATGATATTGTTCTCGTTTTGGACCTCACTGTTAGGTTACTTATTGGTGGTATTCCGAGTAATAATTATTACCTATTCGCATTGATTACATTGTACAATATATAATATAAATATGCATTGTAAAAATGCTGTTAATAATAGTTTTTGTAATTACTAGTGATCCGAGTAGTCGTTTAGAACATATTTACAATAATCATTTATTACAAGTGTCAAACAAATTAATGACACGTTTAAATAAACTGAAAGTGTAAGGAATCGTAAAATATATTTTATATAAAAAAAAATTACCGACACACTCATAAATTAATGTACACTTTTCTTTAAACGTTTAACTTTTTTTAAGTCGTTTAATATATCTGTCAATATGTAAATGACAGTCGGTTCAAACAAAAGGCTGCAGGAGGCCGTTACAAAATCACTCTTCGTCAAAAAGAATTATGCATATTGATATACCCAGCGACACGGTAGTACCGAGAGCCAATTAAAAAAAAAGAAGGTGTTGCACATGACCGTGTATATAATATACAGAAATCTAAGCATTCCCATTAAAATATGTGTTAATATTTTGGTATTCTTTATTAAAGGCTACAGGTCTCCGATTCAACCGTGCTCCATCATCATAAAAACATGTACACGGCTAGTATTGTGGATATCGGGTCGCTAGGTGTAATGTATTATAATATAACTTCACGTTAGGTACCTATACGAGTCATAAATAAAATGTACAAATAAGTAGGTTTCTCTACAATTCTGAATTCTATTACATTATCATAAAAACATTATAGTCGCCCGTCTCGACCATTTGCCGTCGGCACGTACCCAATTAGTTATTATTGTTAATGTATTAACAATTGTGCAATGCTTGTCAATTCCTAATGAGTAATAACTAATAGGCACTAGGCAATAGCGTATGGCTGCATTTTTCTTGGGTACTTAAAAAAGGTTTAACCTATACCTAAAACCTACCTATGCCGGTAATATAATACCTATTATACAAACTAAATTTGTGTATCAAAAAATCGTTTATTATAAAGCCTATACTGTAGAATAAATTATACAATCTATAAGTACAAGTATTTTTGAGAAACAAATTATTTTAAATTTCAACCTGAATTATAAGTTCTATGACAATTTAATTCTAATCTATGTTAAGTTGTTAATAATGATTCCCGACAATTATAATTTATAAATGCTGGAGAGCGTTATCAGTTATCACTAAAGACCTGATTTAGTTGCATTGAAAACACACAAAAATTGCATAATAAAATATTTCTATAATTGCACCAAAAAAATTGTAAAAAATTAGATAAGTTGAACTATAAAAATGCAAAAGTTAAATAAAAAAATTATATAAATGTTACTTTCTTGAATTAAAATTGATAATTAGATACATTTCCAAAATAATTTCATGAAAATTAAATCTTCAATTATTTAAAATATGTTTTAACAAAGTTCTACGTCTACACTAGTTATTGGTGCATATTTAGACCGATTTGCCATAAACAAGGCAATTTATATAACCTTCCCATCTGTTGAAAAAGCTTCCTTATTTTCATTGTATAAGGAGCAATCCAATTTGAAATTTTTATTTTATTTTAGGCATGCTTTTCCCGTAGGTATTTAAAAACTAACTGTGAATACATATAGCACTATGCTGTAATACAAATAATACAGCGACAGACTACGCTGACCTGGTGTTATGACGAACATTCTAGTAAACTAAAATTATTCATATCAGATAATACCAACGATAGTAAAATTATGAATTTTAATAATGGCTCTTAACAATGGATTAATGGTACAACCACAGATTATCTACTCATAACGGAAACGGAAACTCGGTATGTCATAACAGCGTTTTTATGCAATAAATTTAGTTGAGTTAAATATTTTATTCATTTAAATTTTTAACACACAAAATTGTAAAAAATTGCAAAAATGTTGAAAATTACAAAAAATTGCATTATAAAATTAAATAGACATAATACATAAAGTATATATCGACTCCACTTTACCTACATTTAAAATGATTTGGTTTATTTTAACTGCAAAAATCGTTGCACCATCAATGAGATCCGGTTTTAAGTTATCACCTTAGACTCTAAGGGTTAGAGTAATGAAATTGACTTACTTTTTACTTATCGGATACAAACATTCAAATAATTTAAGCTGTTTGTTATTATTTGTTACCTTCCACTAGATGTTCAGACTTTCGGAGGGCTTTTGAAGTCATGTGTTCGATAATTTGATCAAATGCTCCGTATACAATACAAGTGTATGTAATATATATATATATATATAATATGTGACCACCTGACTTGCAGTTGCCTATGGACTATGCTGAAGACCTAGGATAGTTGTATTCGAGTGGAGTCTCAAACTCCCGAATTATTTTACAGGCAATCGGTAATTGGGCCACATATTAACTACCTGCTTTGTATGTATACAATATTTGTTTACATTTTGCAACTCGGATATTGGGTCACATATTAAATATGTACAATACATTTTTACACGGTAACCCGTGAAGGGTCACCAAATGAATAATACCAAAATATATGAATTTATTAATTATTAATTACTAATTACAATACCCACCTATATAACATTTAATTTTTTAACATAAACTATTAAACAAGGCGCATACAGTTAGTCAAATAATTATTTATTTGTTTTCAATTACTTAAAAATTCAATTATTTGGTTTAATAATTCTGTAAAAATTTCTCAAATTCAAATGTGTTTTTTTCATTACTTGTATTTTTTCATTTCATTAAAAATATAATTCTTTTAATTTTAAAGATCATTAGATCTCTGGATTTTAATGTCACTACTCTTCAAATACATAATATTTTCTGCTTATTAGACTCAATAATGAAAAATCGTTTGAAAATAGTGGCCCAATCACCGGGTCTACCTGTTTTAAATGTAAGATTTTAGTGCCCTGGCAATATTTTTTTTTAAAGGATCATTGTGGCCGAATTGAACTCGGACGCTCATTTTAGGTACTTCACTTTTTTGGTCCCTGATTTTTTTCGGTATGTACTATACTAAACTATTGTATTCTTTCCCATGTTAACCATTGTAATAAACCCCCTAATGTTATGAGAGTTATTTTTAAGAATAAATATCCAATTTCATAAAAATTTAATTCAGATGTTCATAGAAAATATTTGTAGCATTGAGGCTTTTATTTACAATTATTGTAAGAAAATCTTATGTAACATATTATGTTATGAAATTGTTAGTAAAGATACAGGATATTTTGGCAATGGATCAAAATATGTCCATGCTCAATTGTCACCGAATATTAAAAAATTATAAAATTAAATGAAACCAATTTTGAGTTTTCAACTATGAAATTTAATCAACAAATATTATGGAACTGAAAATAGGCAAGATCATTATTAGTGTTTATACTTTATACGTTGGTGTTTACGATGTTTATAAACTGTAAAGCTCCTGCATAAATGAATAAATATGTAAATTATTACACTGAAAATTGTATTGCATTTTATTGTATATGCAAAAGAGGGCATTTTATGTGTAAGGGCTAAGACCTTACTATTTTCTATTATAAATGTATTATATTTTAATATAATTTACTTATATGTTTAAATTTGACTGATGGAATTTATATTGTACTTAGTGAGTTTAAATTTAATAATAAGACTAACACTTTACATTTTTCAAAAAGATTTTCAAAATGTATAATAAAAAATATATCAATTTAATTTTGACTGATGATTTAAGGGAATCGAAGTACACGTATTTTTCATACGTTATAGACTAATAAGGGGTGGTAAATTACACGCACTTAAAAATGTAAATAAAATATAAATGTCCAGTTTTTAATAAATATATATGTATGAATTCTTTGACAAAATATCTGGGGCATTTGAGAAGTAAATTTTCAATTCTAAAAGACCTTGAAATTCAGATATTTTTTCAAAAATCCCATGAAACAATTGCATTACATTTGTATTTATTTTTATAATTGTTTTAGTTGCGCGAAGTTGCCCCTCCCCCCCACATTGCTATTTAGACTTCAAACCTTCGCCAACTTCACGCAACTGATTTTTTGTCATCATTGACATTAGCGTGCGAGTGCGAAAGTTGCACGCGGCGGTGGTTGCCCGACTCTGCGATTATCGGAAATACACATAAACATTTACTATTCACAGTCACACATAGACATATCCCAACATGTTATATGAATTGCCTAAATAGTATTCCTTTAAACATGATACGCTCTCCACGCCTCCACCCACCTTAAATAACTGGGGGGGGGGGGGAATATATATCCTACCTTAATAATTGACTAGGACAAAACGACAAAGAATTCATAATAATCAGTGGCGCTCGTGCTAGGGTGCGATGGTGTGGCCGCACTCCCTAAGTAAATTTTAAAATAAAATTATATTCTCAATTAAACTTCTTAAAGGGGTGCACACACTGCGTGGTAGTGTTAAAATGGGTCCTGACACAATATTTACCGCCACCAAGACGGCACCGCCTACTGCCTAGACAAAAGAATCTAACCACCACCGCTGCAGTGTTTGTTGTCCTTCAAAGTAACTAAATAGGAA